CCAAAGAGGCGACCCGCCCCCGCCGCCGAGTCCCTTACGTCTTCTCGCCGGCGCTCTACCGATAAACCCGTAGTGAACCCGGTGCTGTTGCAGCCACCGCGGTCGTCCTGCTCGTACCCGGCGGCTCCTCCGGCGATTGTATCGGCGGTGAAGGCGACGGCGGAGGAGCATAAATTCGCCGGAGCTTCTAACAAGGCGTACGAGCCGCCGGTTCTTCCACGGTGCAAGTCGGAGCCGAGGAGATCAGCGTCAAAGCTTGCGCCGGAGGCTTGTTTCTGGAAGAATCGGAAGCTCGAGCCTCATCCTCCGGCCACCGTAGGAGTCGGCGCGGCCGGAGTAGGGTTCTAGAACCGAAATTTAAAAAAAATCTGAGGTGAAATGGTAATTTTCAATTTAATGCATATCCTTGTTTGTAAATTTTGTTTTCATGGTTACTTCTTCTTCTAGGGTTTGCCATAATTCTTTTTTTGGAATTTTCTGCATTGTTTTCTTGATCTGGTTTATTGTCGAATTTTGTCTGTCAGTCGAATGTCCTTTTCTTTTTTCTGTAGAATAGCAATAATAAAAGGATAATCGCGTTTAGTACTCGACCAAAATGCAATAAATAAACGGTCCACGTTTTCGAAATTAGATGAGAGGATAGTGTGATCCAAATGTTGTTTATACTTTGCCTCTATTTTAATATATTCTATTTCTTGATCTGCTCCAAGTCTGCCGACCAAACTCGAATTTTGAATGTTAGATTGTCGCCGTTCTCGAACCTGTAACCCTCCATGAATAGACGAATAACCCATTTCTGAATGCCTAACTCCAAAACACCATGACCATTTCGTTCGGATTATATTCAGATTTGATTATTTCAATCTATAGAAATCTATAACCATATTAAATTCAATTATGTTTTGGTCCGAATTCAATTTTTTTATTTATAAAAATACCCATTTTAAAAAATCAATTCAACCGGATTTATTTTTTTCCGTTTTAAAAAAATTATAATCATGTGGTTCAAAGACTACTTATTATTAACCAAATTGGCCATCCCTAGATACAACCGATCATTGCTACAAGAAAATAGAGACAAGTTTGTCAATACAAAACGAATAATGTGGAATCAAAATCCATGAGTAAACATACCAAGATTTCACAAGCTAAATAAATCACCAGGACTACTTTTGGTCTTGGCTGTTGCTATTGACCTCACTGTTATCTGGCTCCGCCGAGCCTTCTTCTTTGGGCTCCATGGCTTCGCCGTCATCTCCCATGGAGTTGAAAGCGAGTTGACCCGAGTATAGGAACAGTCCGACCGCATTCACCCCGAAAACAAATGTCGCAAGATAGCACAACCCGTTGATGATCGTCCTGCACAAATCCAAAATCCCGCCTTTTAACGTTTAGGCGGCGAGAAATAGCGAGAGAATTTACTCGAAAGAATGAGCAGAGGTACCGTAACATGCTCTCACGTACCTTACGGTTATTGTGATTTGCCTAACCTGCGGGACATAAACCACAAAAGGCTGCTTAGAAAGATTCGAGTTTCGGGTAACCCACCGATTGTTGTCCCGACGAATTACCCACTTATCTATGGTTGAATTTGGATTCTGGTATCCTAAGATTATGAGGATGGATGCAGATCTAAACCCTAGGATGGTTTAATGAAGCTTTAATTTCCAGTTTTTGAGCCCGAGTGCCCGAAAGAAAAGATAGCGGGGCCCGACCGATGCATTTAGGAAGCATGATTTTCAAGTAATGGTGTGATAACAGAAAACATGAAATAGACTCGGCCCGCAACGGTTCTTGATGACACCAATAAAAAGATCTAAAGAAACATGTCGGCAAAAACCTAGTGGAGAGATTTGGACAACAGTTGGTTTTTTCACATCAACAAAAACAAGATGACATCTGCAGACCAATGGCAGGTATTCTGCTGTCTGGAATCAAGACAACATATTTTCAGACTAGAGAGCAATCACACCAAAAGTGGGAACAAAACCGAACTAGATATACACGAAAAGCTTTTTCTGATCAGTTTTCTTGTTTCGAGTTCTAATATTTACCCGTGAATTCAATTCAGAACGAACAAAACGAGGTTCAAAAACTGATTCAGCCTCAACCCAAGAAAGGATATGATATCATACATATCCTTTCTTGATTGGTATCATATCCAAGAACGACCAAAGAGAGGTTCATAAGCCGATTCAGCCTCAACCCAAGAAGGGTTTGATCAATTCTCATCTATCACTCACTTTCCCACCACAGCTACTCAATTGGGTATGACACAAATCAAGAAAAACGCCGATTACTTAGGCAAGAACCTACCTATTTGTAAGAGGAAGCTTCCAAAGATTAAGCATATTATATGACTAATTCTCCAGACTGTGTTCCAGTGAGAGGAGGGAAACAAACCGAGTAATTATCGGAGATAGTTTGGCGATTCAGGGCGGCTTCTATGGTGGTAGCAAACTTGTAGAGAATGAGAGCTATAACACCAGCTGCAATGGCGCCCAGAAAAGCCTGAGCTGCTGACGGAGGCGACTTCTTCGCTTCAATTGGAGCTGACCCCATCGTTTTCAATCTCTCCATTGCTTCTTCCTTCACTGTTTTCTGCGCCCCAGAAGACCTGAATTTCTACAATTCAATACCAGATTTCACTTTTCCTCACTGATTCGTCCGGAATTCAAAGAGGATTACATAAACGCAGATGATTCAAATCGAAATCCGGAGTTCCTAATCATGCAAACCATATCAATCAGAGTCCTAGTTCACCAAATTCCCCAGTTCCATCATAACAGAATTAGGGCCTATCGAGAGGCGGAAGAGCATTTACCAGCTCTTTAGCCCGTTTAGCTCGCCGACGAAGCGAGCGGAAGAGGAAGATGGAGATGGAGCCGGTGAGGAGGACGCTAGTGGCGACCTGGAGAGGAGTGGGGTTATCAGTGGTGGCGAAAATGGAGTTGGAGGACGAAAACGGCGACGAAGACGGCGGTGGGAGCTCTATCGGACCGTCTTCCTCCTCCGCCGCATCGGAGATTTCTCCGACCGGGTCGGGTCGGGTCCGGGG